AAGAAGAAGAAAGAAGAGTATAAGAAGAAGAACAAGAAGAACGAAAAATCTAAAAAGACCAATCTATATATATATAGTTTCGTCGAATTTCTATAAAAAACCTCAGCACTGGGAAAGTTTAGAAAGTTTAGCCAATTCGTTAATATTGATTTAAAAATCACGGCCTTTATCTCATTAACGCGCACACATTCAACATTCACGAAGGAATAACAGAAAAGTTGCCGTGCAAAAAACGCGCTTTTGTAAAATTTGACAAAAAAGGAGTATAAATAATTATCTTACTATTGCCGTAAATATTTATTATTTAATGTTGTTGCCTGCGTTGCGGCGCGCAGGAGGTAGCCTTACGAAACGTAAGCTTACTTTTTCTCCGCATGCGCACAAAATATTACGAACATAATTTATTTTAACGAACCTTAAACATTTTAGCCACAGGTAGTCCGCGAGTCCATATTTTAAACTCTAATCCATATCGCTCATCTGACGTCACAGCCCAAGCCACGACCTTTGTGCAGGGCAAGCGCTAATCACCTGGCGACAGTTACACGGGTGGGCGAAGCTAGCGCGAAGTAAGTAATCTGTAAGCGATCCATCTTAATCAGCCATATTTCTTTTACGGGTCGATTCGAGGTTGGATTTAAAGTTATAACTTGAGGTTGCGACTTGAGTCTGCAAGTAAAAATGGACGCCGTCAACGAGGAAGGCAGTTCGAACGAGAAAGAAGAAACAACATGTGGAATTTGTCACAAGAAAAAACGAAAGGTCCCTAAGATAAAACCACAGAGAAAAGCAAATACGGTGGGTAAGTTTGGTCCACGAGGAAATAAAGATCAAAATTCTAGCGAAATAGCGGAATCAGACGAGCGAAATCGCACACGAGAAGAAAATCCGAGCAAAGTGTTTCCGTGGATGASCATTTCAAGAACGAATGAACATGACACTAAACATGTACAATTACAAGGTAAGAGGTCGATACAACTGAATTCCTGCTTATCTGATCTTAGATTATTCCAGATTAAAATGATACAAGAAAGAGCCCTTTTTACAGGAATAGATACTAAGATTCATTTTACAGCACTTATTAGAAGTTATTCTCATAAGAATTGCTTTTGGCCTGGTATATCGCATTTAGAATAAACTGTGTTGAATATATGAACAAGAATAGGTCAGGGACGGTTCGGAACGATCCGACAAAAAATCTTCAATCTATTTACTGTAGTGTTCATTTTCCTCTAGAATTCACTTCACCAGAAATTAAAGATATATTTGATTCTGAAATCAAAGATGTGTTCTTAAAATTCCTGGTTGATAACTAACAGTTAATCACACCTCAAGATGATAAATTGATCAATAAGCCCCCGTGTTACCGAACACAGACATTCGTTTAGTCTGAACACACTTTAAAAGGTCAGCTTGGGGTTGCAAGCTAGGATTGGTTTTCGATGCTAAAACAAGACTTAATCGAATGWCCCTGGCTATTTATGAGATCTGTTTGTACAAGGTATTTAGTGTTGTGGTCAAATGCTAACAAGACTGTCAGTAAGCCATCACTTTTAGYAGAAATAAACCAGATATCTTTAAAACCGCAGACAACGTTGCGAGTTTTAGACATAAAAAAGGTGATTTTTATGTAAACAAATTGGTTTTGATCAATCAATTTTTTGGCATTAAGAAAATGCGCCATTTTTTTTTTTTTTTACTTTTTCTACAGACTTACGGTATTTTATCGTTTCCTTTACTAAACCTTTTGATTGGATGAAACTGCTCGGAATACAATGGTACCGGAAGCCACTTAAGTGTTACCTTAAATTATTTAAACCATAAGTGTTAACACTTAACTGGGTTCCTTTACATTGATTCAAGAAAAACGTATTATTTTATGCTACATAGCACAGTTTGGCTGCTTAATTTGAAGCTCTTAGTTGTATATTATAAGTGGGATTTCAGCAGTATTTCTATCCGTTAATTATTATTTTCTCTGGATATTTGTCAGTCAATTAGCACAAAGACACGAGGCAGATTAAAGTCAATCAACTGTTGTATTG